AATGGAGTTGCGGAATACAGCCATAGGGTAATCGGCGTTAGTTGCGCGTGTAATGACACAAGACGGTAAAAATGACTTGTCTGAATACACCGGGTCTTCGAAAATACAATCTAAGGTCTTGAGGCTCCCCAGACACTCACCGCGTAGAAGGATATATGGACAAGTAGAGACGTTGCACGCATAAAGTACCGCCGAATCATTGGAAAAGTTGATGATGGCAAACGAGAGGACGATGGTTCGGTGGTGCGCACTAGCTATAGTTGGTTGGAACAGAAGCGTCGAGTTAGTGGGGGCAGGGGAAATCACAGGCACTAGGACGGCAGACAAAGGTGCGATGCAGACATCAGCTGCGGCGAACACTTTCGAGGGACTGTGGTGGTCGATATCAAGGCTATATGTCCCACAAAACCGCATGCAAACAGATGGGCCGATTATCGAAGGTGCGCCATGGGTTAACGACACAAGGTGCAGAAGGCGAAGTAGGATGGGGTGCCGTGTATGTAGGCAGCGTCGTAGGGTAGGAGTACCCAGAACCCCGGTATGCGCCAGAAACAGGTGGGGCTGGGGGTCTAGCAGCGACAGCCACGTAGGTCAGCAGTGTAGAGACAGATGGCGATGAAGGCAGTGCCTGCGTGACCTGTGTCTCAATGACCTGGCGTAGACGTGGGTCTAACGAGGTCACTGGCTCGGATGCTTCGGCCACAAGAAAAAGTTTACGCGCAGCTTTTTCACGAATGAATTGTTCGTTGTGGAGCAACAAGACGGTGTGATCAGCAGCGACGTCGTACACGAGAGCGGAAACTTCAGCTGTATTTTCAGCGGTCCTGCGCGCCGAGACACGCTGCTTACGCAGCTCGTCGTACTCCTGACAGAGCTGGACAACGTCGGTGACAGTCTATTGGTTCCTAGCGACGAGCATCTGGAAGGTATCGTCATCTACTCCTTTGATGATGTGATTGATTTTGTCGTGTTCAGTTAGAGATGCATCGATGCGCTTGCAAAGAGACAAGACATATTTGATGTAACTTGTAAAAATCTCGTCCCTGCGCTGGACTCGACTACGAAGACGCTGTTCTGCGTGAAGCCGATGCCGGCGGGACGACCGAAGACCGCGGGGATAGGGGTATTGAAGGCGGACCAGTTGGTGATTTTGCCTGCGTCGTTTTTGAACCACAGGCTGGCCACGTCATCGAGGTAAAATCGCACGTTCGTGAGCTGGTCACTGGCGTTCCACTTGTTGGAAGCGCTTACGATTTCGTACTCGACGAGCCAGTCCTCGACGTCTTGTTCGTCGTCACCGCGAAAAACTGGTGGGTCGCGTTGCCGAGGCCCGCCAGTATAGAAGATTATTGTTGGTGGGGCAGCTCGAGAAGAACCAGGGGCAGTCATGGTGAACGATGAGGGTAGTGTCCGATTGCGAAGTTCCAGGTTGATGAGAACCCCGGCTCCTCTACCACTTAAACTAGAGGTGTTGTACGTCGAAAAAGGTTCGGTTCAGACGCAGCTTGGCGAAAGGTGCTTCATGATCGAGGCAGGCCTGGCTACAGGCGAGCGGCGTTTGCGAGCTACTACTATAGTCACCGATCGTCATCGTCTTCTTCAGTAACAGCAGAGCGTCCGTTGTTCAGGGGTTGATTACAACTTATTATATATATATATATATATATATATATATATATAATATATATATATATATATATATATATAGAGAGAGAGAGAGAGAGAGAGCTAATGTGCCTATTTTTCGCCAGTACCGGCTAAAGTCAGTTAAATCACAGATTCCTCCACTGAAATATGATTTTCCATTTTATTCATGCGATCGCCAACCAGATTGGCTTCTCCAGCAAAATGAGAAGTCATAGTCGCAATATAATTAAACTAAAGAAAACGAAACAAAATGAGAGAAAAATCTCGTTATGGGCAGAGTCTCCAAACGTGGACAGGTATGTCAATGTGCATTTTACCTATTGAATTTAAAAAGTTTTCCCCTACCTACACTGTAATGCCACGTTGCGCATGACATTTGTTTTGTACACAAACTTGGCAAGTATACACATAGAGACAACCATATGTGTTGTGTGTGTAATATTTGCTGATTGACGTCTTCTATTCATAAAAGTGATATAGTTATGAACAATTCAGGCATGTTGAAAATTGGAATAATAAATATAATGCAGAGTTATTACTAAACTCAAGATCGAGCGTAGATGCGACAAATATAATAATAAACAGACAAACAAGTTTACATTTTTTGTTGTAGTAGTGATAACAGTGACATCAGAAAATTTCACCTTTGCTCAATGCTGTGTCAAGCTGGCATGAGTAATTTATCACTGCCGGAACAAATTGTACTTCAATGAAATACCTCTCCTTTGACTTTTCCTTTCTAGAAGGGCATGGGGCACATGTTTTAATGAAAGTATTAGCAGATAAATGTACAAAGAGATACAATTTTTATTTTGCCATTATGGTGAAGTGCGCATGTGACACCGAGAATTCAGAATTTATTTTATTTCTGATATTATTTATTGGTAGCCTACACAAGAAATCATCTTTAGTATCGAGCATGGCCGTGATTTTCAAACTTGCAACTAAAAATGCTGTTAACATAAAACATAACGCGGCATCGAATTGGAAGCCGGATGTGAATACTCTTTATATCGATATACGATGATAACGTAATGCTCCAAGTTAACTTCTAGAGCAAAATAAAAGATTAGAATAATAAACGTAAAAAATATAAAGAATTAAGAAAGCTAGCCGACTGTTAAAAATTATATCGTTTACAGGTATTCGGAAAAATAACTTGACAGTGTCATTATACCAATTGTCATTTGTCACAATGACTTCATGTGCCTTGTTGTTTTGATTGAATGATTTGTGGGGTTTAACGTCCCAAAACCACTATTTGATTATGAGAGACGCCGTATGAAGGGCTCCGGAAATATTTAACACCTGGGGTTCTTTAACGTGCACCCAAATCTGAGTACACGGGCCTACAACATTTCCGCCTCAATCGGAAATGCAGCCGCCACAGCCGGGATTTGATCCCGCGACCTGCGGGTCAGCAGCCGAGTACCTTAGCCACTAGACCACCGTGGCGGGGCCCTTGTTGTTTTAATTTCAGTAATCGTAACTATAAGACTACAATACTCTGTGCCAACAGTGGCATTGTATAGAGTCTGAGATCATACTAACATCATGACTACTCCGCAATCATAGAATTCATAACATGCACATGCTTTAGCTGAAAACGTATTTGTACATTCCAATCAATATTGCTGAATTTGTTGACAAACCTTATGAGGCACATTTTTTGTAAATATTGTAGTATGTCCATGCATATTCTTGCTTTTATATATTTCGATAATAGGAGAAAATGTCGGAATGCGAAGAAAAACTCAGTGTACTTGGCAAATAAATTTTGCTAGATGTTATCTAGATCAAGATGCACGGAAATGTGAAGTAGTCGTGATTTGGCGATGCACTACTGACTACGCACTGAAACATATTCAGGGGTAAAACAACCCGAGCGTATTCGGAAAACGCAATGATCACACCAGCAAGTTCCACAATTCCCCAGAAAACATTTTATGAAACATTAACCTTGTCAAAAACGTTTAACTACAGCACCAAATTTCATCATGTTTCAGAAAATAAGAAAGAGAAAATTGAAACGCGATCGCAAAAACATAAAATGATAGTTTTAATATTCGGAACGTTTGATAAAACAGCTTCAAGAACTCGGACGCTACATCACCAACTTTAGCAACGTTTCAGGAGATATTAACATGTACGCCAACTAAATCACCAAACAAATCAATAATATTTCTTCACATCCTAACACAAACACACAAAAATCTCTCGCCAAGTTAGACGATTGACTTCAGACATATTTTTAAACTGTCATTTTGCGAAACTCATTGGAACGATGAACTGTATACCTAATAAACAAAATATAATATCGTAATCTAGCTATCAACGCAAGGCAATACTAGAAATTTGCAGGACCCTATTTTCTTGGAGGCCTCTGAGCTGAGCTGCTGCTGCTGCTGATTTCACTCACTTGCAGAAGAGCACCTGTTCCTGACGCCTCTGAAGAGGCTGAAGCAAAATTTTTTAAAGAGTGCTGAAGCAAAATTTTTTAAAGAGTGCGGAATTCAGGCTTCAAACCTGATAACAATTTAGGTGAGTGTGTCCGCAGAGATTGAACCACCTCAGTGATAGAGTCAAAGCCACCATGTTATTCCAATGGCTATACGCTGTCGCTCTACGATTCCTTAGTCGCGTTGGTCGAGTTGGACGCATTTCTTTGGTGGGGAATTGCAATATGCGCGTGCATTTACACTTTGAAAATAAGCAAGGTGGTTTCTCAACGGGTCAATTACAAATGTTATGGGTAAATTGTCCGTAACACTCATAAGAGTTTATGAGATAGTATATTCGAACATTTTTTGAAGGGCGGGAAGGCACCTCTACTCTTTTAATAGGCTATTAGCCAAAAACATTCATTTTGTGCCCGTCGTCACAATTCACTTTGTCTGAAAAAGATAGCGGTGCACTCCTTAAAGCGATATTGGCTTCGAGACATCGACAGTGTTGAATATGGAGAACGGTTTCTACAGATACTTAAAACCTGTATAGCCGTGCCTGAAACGGTCCATGATGGCCCCCAGATGTTTATGCCCTGTGCAGAGTCGCCCTTTTGAACGACACTGTGTAATGTCAATTTCGCATGCTTCTCGAGCTATGCATGCTCGAGCTCATCGACAGCACTTTCTAGCTCTACAGCACTGGCAGCAATTAACCGACAAAATATATCAATATGCACCACTGCGTATTCCGGAGAGAATACACTCCCATTCCACTTTTCAACAGTGACGTAACGCAAACGACATAGAAGGGGAGCAGAGGCATCAAAAAAGATGTTGCTGCTCTGTTTCAAAAAATAGTATCTGTAGAGATATTCGTATTTTCAATTCGTATTTTATCTTTTTGAGAAAGACCCGGAGAATGACCCAGTGATACTGTGGATGCAAGGGGGACATGGTACATCCTCACTTCTGGGATTCTTCAACGAGCATGTTCCTTACTATCTGTCTGAGGACGGTAATGAGGCGGCCTTTCGTGATCTTACCTGGGCGAAACGCTACTGGATGCTCTACGTTGACCAACCCGTGGGGACGGGATACAGTTACACCGAAAACGACGCCGGCTACACCCACAACCAGACCGAAGTTGGTCCCGACATGTTCGAGTTCCTGCAACTGTTCTTCATGATGTTCGGTGACCTGGCCGAGAACGACTTTTACATCGCGGGTGAATTGTATGCCGGTAAGCGCATTTTACAATATCACAATGCTCGCTTTAAAAACATTTTTGAATTCCGACTCAACGATAACCATTTTTGACCACTTTTTCACTCTCATTCTGTTTAATGTCAATCTATCTACAAAGTAGGAAGATGGTTTAGCCAAGTAAACAGCGAGATGAGCGAAAACACGTAAATGAACAATCGCACTACAAGCAAAAACAAACAAAAACTGTGAGTAAATAAGACGTAGCAATATATCTGCTGCTGCTTCTGCTATTAAGACAGCTGATTTTCGCTCCTGCGTTCAGTTCTAGTTCCTGTTGCTATACTAGTAGGCAAAAGACATGGTAAATAAAAATAAAACATGAAAAAGTTGCTACATTGCCCTTGTTCAATCTAAGCACAATTTATTATTGGTTGTCTCGCAGCTTTTAATACTTGCTTTATTGTATCCATGACTACCTTTCTTTATTAATTTCTCTAGAAGTTCACTTTTGACTTTTGCTTTCTTTTAGGCTGACTTCAACAGAAGTTCACCCCCTTTTAATAAATAAAGTATTCATTACGTGTAATATTTACCTTTAAATAAATATCTGGGTTATTTTATTATACACATGAACACCCGTGCCCTTTTCCCGTTGCTCGTTTTGTTTACCATTTTTCTTTTTACCACACGCACGCGCCCACAACCGCGTATCTCATTTCAGCACCACACAAGGCCACTCCGTTTACGTTGAATGTTTCTTAAGGATAAAAAAAAAAGCTGGCTTGCTACAGCTGTGGGCTCTTTGACTCTGGTTATGCACGATTGTTCCTGGTGCATGTTCTATTGTTCTGTCTTTAGACAACATTCTCGCCGTTTTGCTGTATTGCCATAATCAATGATAGCACTTATACCCGTGCCACACGGGCAGAAAAAATGGGATTTACCCCCGAATGCCTTCAGATTTATTGCCATTCGCGCGGTGCCACACGGGCGAACAAAATGGCATTCGTCCGAATGGCATTCGAATGCCATTCGCCACCAACTGCCTTCGCCAGAACTCAGTTGACTGAGAAATGCCTACTCTCGACGACACAGCTCGCGAAGTGCGATTTACCTGAAAGTATATAAAACAAATCATATTGAGCTAAAAATGAAATTTCCTGTCTTTTATTTGCACTAAAGTCTTAAAAAGATGCTTTGAACGTTATACGAAGAAAATAAAGTATTGATAATGAAACGCTTGTCACTTTTAGTGTCTATTTACTCTGTGGATCTGACTAGTGTTGGCTTAGATTGCTACGGTCGGCTGCAACGTTGTAAAACAAAGCAAGAAACTCAAACTTAGGACAGCGTAATACGCTTATTTCTACATTTGATGATTATCTGATGTGTATGAAGCTTGTAAATGCTTCTTAATTTTTTTATTGCTATTCACTCAATCCTCACTTGGAAGGTGCTGTGATCGACATCATCAAGTCAAATGTCATTCGCTTTGGACGTGTAGCAGCGCCGGCGAAACGAATGTCATTCGGGAACTGAAGGCCTTCGCCACCAAATGTCATTTTCTATGCCCGTGTGGCACGGGTATTACTCACTCATCTTTCTTTCCGTTCATGTGGCATGCAGGAAAGCACGTGCCAATTGCGGGGGCCGCAATGCACGAGAACGCGGACACGATGCGGGTCAAGATTAACTTCCGCGGCATCACCTAGGGCAAAGGTCTGACGGACCCTATAAACATGACGAATTTTGGCAGCTTCATCTATGGCATCGGCCTCATCGGCACGCGCCGCCGCCGGCTACGTGTTACGAGTCACCAGGGATGTGGTCGCCATGGTCCGCGTGGGTAACACAGTGGAGAGCGGCATCAAAATGGACCGCCTCTTCTTCGGCATCCTGGCACACGAAACTTTCTTTAAGAACGTCACGGGCTTCGACTACTACTACAACTACCTGACTGACATGAAGCCTGAAGGCAGCAAGGCGTACAAAGCATTCGTCCAAAAGCCCTAGGTCAGGCGCGCCCTGCACATGGGTCAGCAAAGGTTTAGCATGGGTCGCCAACTCGTGGCAGCCCATTTTATCACTGACATAATGCCCCCGGCAGTGCCGCAGTTAACCACGATGCTGGAGAACGGCTACAAGGTGCTGGTGTACAGTGACCACTTAGACATCTGCGTGCCCACGACGCACACTGAGAAATTTCTGGCCAACGTGGCCTGGTCGCACATGGACTGGTGGTCTCACGCACCCCGCCACATCTAGCGAAGCGCCGACGGCAAGCGCCTGCACGGCTATAAGAAGACCATAGAGAACCTGAACTGTGTAGTGGTTCGCAATGGAGGTCACGTTCTACCTTACGACCAGCCCGACGCTATGTTTGAGCTCATCACAGCATTCATCGATAACGAGCCGCCTTTCTCTGCTCAGGCTACCTCTGTCGCGTAGGCGACACATGTGTCCCGGAGCTCACGTGTAATCTGTTCAGGAAGCGGAGTATTCGTGAATACACGCAAGAAAGAACATAACATGAAACAAATATACCTTAAATATTTGTCATCAGCATATATGCGAAATCTTTTTGTCCATAGCTCCCACAATACGCACATTTAAATAAAACACTGTATATAGGATTGCGCTGTCATAACATCAGTTTGCACGCGATGAAGATTTAGTGACTGTTAGTAAAACTTGTTGTTGGGATACTTAGTGCACGTTACAAGGTAACTGGACTACGCAAACCACTAAGTAAGAATAGGCAAAAAGAAAGAGGTAGCGAGTTGACGTTCTTTCCTTTCGCCTATTCGTCCCCGGTGGTATGCATCAACTAATTTTCTTGTTAGTGAATGTTGCTCTGGGCCTGTCATTCCACGCTAAGATAGGCATTTCAAGTCAATATAATTTCGCAATATACCACACGTACCACTGTTATTTGAATTATATTTTCATTATATCTTCACTGATTGTGAAGAAGTAAAGGCTGAAAATGTAAAGCTCAAGGCGACCAACGCTATGCTAGAGGCCACGTGCGCTGATCTTGCCCAAAAGGTGAAAGATCATGAGAGTAGGCTGCTACACCTTGAGCAGTATTCTCGTAATGCAAATGTGGAGCTCAAAGGTATCCCGTACAACGCCACTGAAAACCTTATAGATACAGTGATCAAAATTGGCGAGAAAGTAGGTGTACCACTTGAGGAAGCCGATTTTGAGTCGGTGCACAGAGTACCAACCTCCAATCTAACAAAAAAGAACGTAGTAGTTCAGTTCGCACGGAGGCAGAAGAGGGACTGTTTCCTCGAGAATGCGCGTACTGCCCGGCTCAAGTGCTCTGACGTAGGCTTTGACTCGGAGGAGCCGTTCTTTGTTAACGAGCACCTATGCCCAGAGCTGAAACGTCTACTGGGTCAGGCTACTGCACGCAAACGCGAAACTGGTTGGAAATACGTTTGGGTGCAAAATGGCAAAATTTTCGCACGGCGCATGGACAACGCTCCAAAAATAAAGATTTCATGCAGTGGGGACGTTGCTAAAATGGTTAACCCATTATGAAAGCTGGAAAATAAGACCAATGTTCCAAGCTTTGAAGGAGCCCTTTGTGGTGCTATAGCGCATCTTATCATGCCGTTCATATGTGTTAAGGAGACACATAGTTGTATATGTTGCGATAGTCTACCCGGTGCAAAGGCCATATGCGCATGCGCTGTTCGCCACACATTTGTTCTCTTTCCGATATTTGTTGCCTGCTTTTTTATTTTTTTTGTCTTGTGTGCTTTAATTTTGGAAGTACTGGTTTGTAGTTGCCGCTTTTGCTATTTTCTGGATTGTTTGCGTTGATGCCTGTATCGCGACATGAGCTGGGAAACAACTTGGCTGCGTTTTTCTGCCCTTGTTGATGAAATCTGTAGGCACAGTGATATTTTTCGTTGTCTGTTTCTCATTTGGAAGTATGTCACTACTTGTCTGCAAACTGACAGCACTTCTATGTTGACCCATAATAATCAGCAATGACTTTATCTTGTATTAGTCCAACCACACTCAAGTCGGATATTGTTGAAAAGTGTAAATCACCATTAACATTTTTACATATGAACATGCAGTCGTTACGCCAAAGATATGATGACTTTTGCATTTTAATAAACGAGTTCGGGTTTTCCTTTTCGGTTATTATGCTGACTGAGACGTGGTACTCTGATCTTGATACCATACATTTAGACGGCTACAGTGCCGTTTCTTTGAATAGGAAATTGAAAAGGGGAGGCGGCGTATGCATGTTCACAAAACTGGGATTTACCTATGACCTCCTCGATGACTTTTCTTGGTCCACAACGGACATTGAGATAATTTGTATAAAATGCAACAATTTTGTATTTGCTGTCGTGTATAGGCCACCTGATGGTAACTTGAGCGAATTTTTCACGTTTCTAGAGGCTATTTTTAGATGCGGAAGCATCTTATACTCGCGCCTTGTAGTGCGCCGTCCGCGCCGTCCGCACCGCTTCTCGAACATTCGACAGCTGACGCGCGCGCATGCGCCGTCGCCCACTCTTCCACCATCTGTGCATCCCTTCCTCCTCTACACACCGCGCGCGCTTCACTCCTCCACCATCTGTGCACCCTTCCTCCTCTACACACCGCGTTCGACATCTACAATTCTCCTGATTCTCCAGTGGACGCGCATGTGGCGTCGCGCTTCGAGAACATTCAACAGCTGACAGTGCATGCGCCGTCGCGCTGTATATATACTCAAGGTCGGCGCTCGCTCGCTCAGTTGCCGCTCGTCGGTTGGTTTGTACGGCGCGTCGACGTCCAAGGTCGCGGTGAAATGAATTCCAACGAATCCACAAACACAATGATCGACGTCCCTTCGACCATCGCCGCCCTTTCGCATACGTGTGTACGTGTTCACTCATTTAACACCCCCTCCTACAACCACGTTAACCAATTTAGCCATCGACCCAAGTAAGTCGCAATTTAACACCCCATTTCACAACCACGTTAACCAATTTAGCCATCGACCCAAGTAAGTCGCACTTTAACACCCCGTTAACCAATTATATGCTCCGCATCCTCCTCAGTGTTCCCCCGAGGGAAGCTGCGGGCAATTTTTTTCGTTTGTAAACATAAACCAATACTCTTTAATTTTAGGAGGTGACCTAAACATAGATATGCTGACAAAAACTCCTAAACAGGGCGAATTATCTGCGATTCTCGATTCCCATTTTTTGTTTATAGTAATAACCACCCCCACACGTATCACTGCAACTAGTGAAACTCTTATCGACCTTTTTATTACTAACCTAGCAATTAATGACCTATTCTCTAGTACCATTAATGTGACACTTAGTGACCACTTGCCTATCTATTTAGTAACTGATACGTACAATACGGCAAAAGAATTCACTGTAAATATAATATATCAAGACATCAACGCGGTTACACTGTCGCAGTTCCGAGATGAACTCGCCAGAACAAGCTGGAACGCAGTTTTTGCGTGCTCTACGGCTGATACCGCATATGACCATTTCATAGAAATTTTTTCTTCGGTATATAAAAAACACTTTCCGTACAAAGAAATAACTAAGCCAAAACGCGCACGTAAGCCTTGGGTAACGTTAAGTATATTGAAAATGATACGTACGAAAAACAGACTGTACCAGGTGTTCTTGAAAAATCGCGATTTGAATGCACTGAAAGCGTTTAGGGCCTACAGAAACAGTCTTTCAAAAACTTTAAGACAAGCCAAACGCGACTATTACCATACTGTTTTTAACGGTATCGTAGATGTCAAGCAAATGGGGAAAAAACTAAACACAATCATATCTTCAAGTAATAGGACGCCTGGTGTCGACGAAATTACAATTGATAATAATATATTTAAAGGAACAGCATTAGCCAATAAATTCAATGGGTACTTTACTTCTTTGTCAGAAAGTACTTACGACGGAAATGCATTATGTTACATGCCAACACCTATAGCCCCCTCAATATTTATTGACCCTACGGAGCAAACTGAGGTAAACAACGTTTTCATGAAACTTAAAAAAAGCAAAAGTGAGGACATTGACGGCATAAAAATGGAACCGGTTATCTTTGTTATTGATTTATTATCACCCTGCCTGACGCATATTTATAATATTGTTTTAAGCACAGGTATGTTCCCTAAGCGGATGAAAAATGCCAAAGTTGCAGTGCTTTTTAAAGGTGGTGACAAAAATGAAATGAGTAATTACCGGCCAATATCGGTATTACCTATATTTTCAAAGGCTCTAGAAAAAATCATTTTCACTAGATTGTATAAATTTTTGGACTCGCATTCTGTGATTACAACAGCACAATATGGGTTCAGGTCTGGCGTATCGACGGAGACAGCGCTGTTGCATCAAAAAGAGTTGATACTGGGCAACATTGAAGCAAGAAAGCTAACATTAGGCGTATTCATAGACTTTACGAAGGCGTTCGACAGAATTGATCACCAAACCTTGTTAGAAAAATTGTTTTATTACGGGATTAGAGGCATCGCGCTTGATTTAATAGGAATCTATCTTAGTGATCGGTACCAGTGTGTGTCTATAAATAGGCAAACATCTATGCCCAAAAAAATCAAACGCGGTGTACCACAGGGAAGCATATTAGGACCTCTTCTATTTAACCTTTATATCAATGATATTGTAAATGTGGATCACTCAAAAACGTACATTATTTATGCAGATGATACAAGCTTATTCTTTACGGGAACAAATATAGACGATTTGATAAAAGCAGCTAATAAAACGTTAGTCAATTTTTCGAAATGGTCCTGCCAAAATTCGTTACAGATCAACAGCTCTAAAACCAAGGCCGTTCTTTTCCGTGCGAAAGGAATAACATGTACGTACACACAAAAACTGATGCTAAATAATTTCAATATCGAACTTTCCGAGACTGTCAAAACTTTGGGCGTCATCTTTCATCAACATATGTTCTGGAATTCTCACACTGAACAATTGTGTATTAAGCTAAGAAAAGCCCTTGGCGTGCTGAGAAGGTGTCAGTCGTTTCTACCGCTCCCCCAGAAACTTCTTATCTTTAATACACTTTTTTGTTCTCATCTACGCTATTGTCAGTTGGTATGGGCTTCTGGAACTGAAACATCAAAACAAAAGTTGTATACACTTCAAAAAAGCGCTTTGCGGGCTGTTGCAAATATAGGTTACAGAGAACACACATCCCATTTATTTGTCAAGTTTAAAGTTTTAAAATTTTGTGTGGCATATGAACATAACTTGTTGTTGTCTTTGAGGTCTGAAATTCGAAAGAATTGCGCAAACCTGAGAGGCTTAGCACATTTACAGCCGAAAATTTTGTTGCGTCCGATGCGGAGTTCTGAACACTGGCACATCCCCCGACCGTGAACAAATTACGGACTCCAAATGCTAAAGCACTCAGTTCCCCATATACTAAATAAGTTCAAGCTCACAGAACAGCAATTGCGTCTCCTTTCAAGTAGTGATATATTAAACCTGTTTGTATAAGGAACTATAAACCCAGAAAAATTACACCCAGTACTTGTAAATGCATGAAAGTTTAAGTGTACCCCTTTCTGTTATAGCGTCTTATATTGGTTGCCTTTTTTCCCAAAAATTGTTTGTTTGTAAACACCCAAGTGTGCATCTATTCTGTACTTCATAAACAACCACTAGAATGTTATTTTCTTTTCTTTTTTCTTTCAATCATACGTGAGCATCGTATGAAGCTTGGTGTGCCATTGTTTCTGTTGCCTTGTACAAATGGGAGGTGGGGCTAGTCAAGCTGCTATAGCGCAGCTTTTTTCCTACTTTCCATGCCACAATTGTTTCTTGTTTGTGTAAATCACGGTGTATCGTTGTGGTGAAATAAATTTCAACTTTCAACTTTCAACTTTCAACTACTTTTAGTGCACGTGCATAAAGTTGGTCTTACTTATTTCACCGGGAGGCACTCGACAGAAATAGTTCGTGGTCCACCAGAGGCCGCCGCAGATGCTTGACGTCACTGATGCTATCGCCTAAAATATTTGTCACATCTTCGCAGACATTGAAGCCACTTGAAGACGACAATCTCATCCCATATGCAACGAAGAACTTGTTCGGGGAACTCCCTTCCGTCGGCAGTGGAAATCTAACCTATATAGTGCCTCATATTTTGGGGTAAACTCAACAGCACTTCACCAGCACTAAGGCAATGAGATGGTGAAATTGATGTAGCTTTCAGCACCTTATATATTACAGATCAATGAAGGTGGCCCTGCCCTTTCTCTTTAGGCTTTTTGAGTAAGCGATAAAGTGCACGACTAAACTTGAGTTCCTCCTTGTGAACTTTTTGTTGTTGTTGTCATCCGCATCAACAGAAGTGCTTTTCCTGAAGTAAAGCTGAAACGTCTTGATTCACCATGGCTTTTAATTTTGCTAATGACTATATTAATGTTAATAAAAAGAAGTAACTAAAATAAAGGCAAGCGTAAATAAGCCAACTTCTGAGGGAACCAAATTGACGGAAAACAAAAAGGATATCCTTGCAACAACCGCTTCTTGTGTGGATATCTTTCTTGTGTTCCGTCAATTTGGTGCGCTATACAATCTGCAATCATGCTTTACCAACCAGCCCAGTCTTCAACTTTAGCAAGCACTTGCTTGGATGTCCTGATATCTTTATCTGCATGAACACGCTGCAGGATGCTCTTGTTTAATTCCCTCTACGAAGATGTGATCAGTGGAACAGCCTGTGTTTGTAAGGGTCCAGCGCGCTCCTCATAGGATATATAATTAAACTATAACTATGGGGCTATAATTAAAGCCACGCAAGCTGATAGTCTGAAGAATGAAATGGGCAAAACTCCACTTCAATTTCAGGAAAGCAGAGCATATATATCAATCTACAACAGCCTGGGAAAGTATACCTTAATTAAAGAGAGCTGATTATGAATTATTTCATGTTGGTAGCCATGCGCTGGCTTTGCATACATAGGTATGCCGATACAAAAAAATTCATGAACAGGCCATGTCGTGCCGACTGATCTTGCCGGGGATGTGCCCAAGCACTGAATAAAATATTTGTCGGTCAATATTTCCACAAATAGAGTATACATTCCTTTATAAAACCACAATACTCACATGTAAAAATCCGGAAACAGAGGTGTACTCGAACCTAGTTCATAGGCCTGGTTATATATTTTCTTAATCAAAAGCTTCTATCTTCTACCTGCCATTTTCTTTGATGTCTACAAGCGTTATATTTTGGAATTTCGAAGAAAACGTCCTTCCACAATCCAACTCAAATGGACAGTGCAAAAGCTCAGGCTTGGTTGTACTCTGTGTGAGTGAAGTAAGTGAGCTGCTGATTTTCAGCCTGCTGTGGTTGGTTGTTGTGGGCTGCTGTAGAATACCAGTTATGGTGCACTATCTTTACAGCACCAATATACTTAAACATAAACAAATGTAGCAAATATAACAAGTGTCACGGGGTCGTGACGTGGCCGAAGACAGGAGACTTTGTTTTAGAATTTAACTGTTTATTTGGGCGAACCTGTGCCCGGTAAACGGAAAATCCGATTACAGTAGCTGTCTTGGACTGATAGCGGTGAACGAAGCGTCGGCCGTCGATCAACTACTCACAAGCGGCGAAGTGCGTCGGCATTGATACTCTTGCCATCAAATGTTCTAGTGTTATCGCTGGCGATGGCGTAGGTTCCAGAATAATCTGTACAGTTCGCAGAGTGGGCGTGATCTTATCGAAATGATCTACTAAAGTCCGGAAGCTCCTCGAAAACTGCAGACGCGGTTTGCGCTGAGAATCAAGTAGGCTTTCGGGGCGATAACAAAGCTTGAGAAATAGAACGTGGCACAAGCAACTGACAACAGTCACGACTCGGAAACAATTTAGGTACGTAGAGGTCGGGACTGCATATTTTGCCTTAGTACCGAAGTCACCATCGTGTTCATTCTGTGTGGCTCACAGTGGCAAAAAGAACGCCTTCAATGGTCTTTTAAATCTATACCCATGACTGAGTGCAGCTGTGTAGGATTTCAATACCCACAAGTTGACTGCAGACATAAAATAACGCTTTGTGCACGTGCTTGTAATTGCTTCGCAGAAGAAGAGGAACAAGGAGGGAACAAACCTGCAGCGCATCGGTGCACCTGCCAGCGCGACTCAATTTTGCTGTTATATACGATTAACCACTGGTAGATAGGCACGTTATGTCGTTAAAGGAATGTGAACGCCCAAACTATAGAGTAACTGAACTAGAAGCTGACTGACGTTCCAGCTTTGGAGGCTTGCAAAGAATGTTGCGATGAATTTTGACAGAGGGCTAACTAAGTTGGCTCAGGGCTAATTTATTTGAATTTTGAGGTCTTGAAACAAAGTGGGACTCATTTTCAGACATATCATGGTAACCAGTATAGAAAACATCAGGAGAGTGTTAGGAGAAAATCAGCGAATAAGCAGTCGTTCACTGTGCGCAGAATAAAAGATACGCGTATACATCAAATGATGCACTCCGTGTGGATGGTCGTGACACAAAAGTCATGACCAGGGCAGCGCAATCACGCTTCCTCTTCACCTGCTGTTCGATAAACCCATTGTTAAAAATGGGAGCTAGTTGTCATTCGATTCTGTCGTCGTGCGCAGCGCCTGAATTTGACCCCACCAGCACTGCCCGCTTGCACTCCTATTAGTTCGGCCCACATGACGCCTGAAGCGGCTACGGCCCTGCTGTAATGCGTAACGCAGCTCACTTGAATTGAAGTTACTTTAGTATGTATGTATGTATGTATGTATGTATGTATGTATGTATGTATGTATGTATGTATGTATGTATGTATGTATGTATGTATGTATGTATGTATGTATGTATGTATGTATGTATGTATGTATGTATGTATGTATGTATGTATGTATGTATGTATGTATGTATGTATGTATGTATGTATGTATGTGAGTGTGCGTTTGCAATGTGATACCTTTCTACTCGGAGATGGAAGACTGCTGATAAGCTTTTCAAGCAGGTTGGTCAATGCGAAAAGAAACCTGGTGAACGCAGTCAACCAACATTGTTCCGTAATGTCCAAGAGGGCATTACGGAACAATGTTGGTTGATACAACGCTTGTATTTTGTTCTTCCATATTTCGTTTTTCACAGCAGACAAGTTTTGGTCGAGATTCGCCTTGTGTCGCAGACATAAAATCTCCATCACCATGAACCGACGCGCGTTTATTCACCGCCCAAGTACAGGTGGTCCACAAAAAAAAGATGAGACGTGTGGCCCCTGCTCAGTGTTTTCCGCCCATGTCTTCCTTTAATTTTCCTGGACCAGTGTGCCGAGCATAGAGATTCGCCGAATTTTGGAAGTAAATACACCTTATATAAGAGAACAAGCATAGCCTTGTACAGCATAGTATAGCAAGCGGTGAGGAAGAGGTAGGTGAGATGGTAAAAGCCTAGCCAAGCCAGCACCACCAATGGGTTTCCACAATGCTGTGACAGCTTAAGGCTGCGGGAGGCTGCAGGTGAAAGTTCACGACTGTGGTAATCGCAGCAAATGCAGATGTTGCAATTGTAGCAGATGCTATAATTTCTACAAGGACAACGAAGGCTATAAGTTTGGAAAAACTTCTATTACAATTTTTACTTTCCGAAGCAAAATGGATCAGCAAGTGAAAGTAATATTTACAAGCAGTTTTATAAGGCGGCGGTCTCGATGTTGACGACAATGGAAGACACACACTGCGATGAAAGCGCATGCACACCCACTGTTCACGGCCACGAACTTCATGCAGCGAGGAGAAAACTGTTGTTCAAAGCAGGTACTTTATGCACGATGGCGTCTGCCCAATACGACCAAAAAGCGATATAAGTAGGAATTGTAATACCCTAAATACTTCAATTGATAATCATAGTCTTAAATTATTATCCACAACTCTGTATCAGAGAAAAAGAGGCTGGCAGTATTTCGGTTGGTATGGACGAATAAAGGTACAGGACTTTCTGACAACTTTAACAACTAACATGGAATATTGCTTTTTATATTCAACACCATCTTTGTAGGAAGCACACATGAATGGACAACAATAAAAAAAAGATAAACAATATACAAGCTTACTGTCTTCACAGGCTTGAAAACACGTCTTCTGTTGTATTGCACAAAACGGTCGGGACCAAAAGTTGCATTGCAAAGAAGGTGACATACCTATGAAAAAATACGGTAACTGAATGTTTCTCTCGGCAGCACTCAGCACGAGACATTTTTGAAGAATTATTATTTAAGCTGAAAAATAAATCAGTATAATGGCAGAGGTTGTCGACCAGTTTAGTCTGTTTGGTATTTCATAGTTCCGAGAGTGCATAGCATTAAATACAGTATAATTACATAAAATTTTAATCTCCGGGGAGGACTTCTTATATGTCATGTCGCTTAGCAAGGACAATTTCGTAACTATAGCGCAAGTAGCTTTAGTATAGCGACGAGGATAACTGGACCTAAGCACAAGGGAGAGGATGAACAACAAGTGCCCAGGGCGGGAAAATTCGTGTTGTACTCATCCACCCTCTCACCTAACTTGTACTCGACGCTATATACCTGTGAAGTATGTAACGACTTGCTTTTATTGCAGAAATATATGCTGGTAACCCTTTAAGGGGCGAAGCTTCTTAAGGCGTGGGTCTGTTCATCCCTTGTATGTATGTAAAAGTACGTAGTCACCGGTGGCACATACTCACTATAGAGCGGGTATGTGCCAAAGTGAATGCGAGATGGGAGATGGCGGTACTTGGAGTGTTCACTAGATGGACGCGTGGGTGGACTGACAGACAGAATAGCAGACAGACGGACGGATGGATGCACGAACAGACATACAGACAGATGGAAGGACGGACTCACGGACGGACACAAGGACAGACGGACGAACGCATGAATGGACGCACGAATGGTCGCGCAGACGGATGGAAGTGAGAACGAATGAACGGACGGAAGCACGGATGGGCTGACGAACGCTCCGCCCCACTCATCATCAATCCCTCCGTGGATATGCTGAGATTTTTTTGACACACCCTTTTAGGGGAGTGTGGCAGCGTACCGCAAAGGCCAAACAACTCTGCAAACACGCACGCAAACTAAAAACCTCGACACATTGACGGAATTACGCAAGAGATGTTTATGACTCTGCAGGATTTTGTGTCAAATAGCTTCAGTTCACCGAACTACACATTATTTTGTAATTTAGGCACCCGTAATGGTTGCAATAACACATGTGACTTTACATGCCGTGTTTTCCTCGCAATGTCTTAAGTAACAAGTTGGAACATCGTAATGACAAGGCCAGTCAAGTGAATCCGGAGCTTCTTTTCTTTCTTGGTTGAAATGAACGCCTAGATTGAAGGTTTCGCATGCAGTGGAAACTGGTACGAGTGTCCTGTTACTCGTAAACGGCGCTCATTTCCCGAGCTGCTGGATAGACTGGTATTCAAGATGGCGAACAACAGAGTGGACGTCCACGTAAAACATCGTGAACGAAAGCATGAAAGAAAATTAGGAGAAAAAGAACGGCAGTGAGGTTAACCACTCTATAGGCAGCCGGTTTGCTACCCTGCGCATGGGAAGGGGATGGCGGAGATGAACGAAAGGAAAGAGGGAATAGAGTTCAACACATGAAAGTTGCTGAAGTTTACCGAAGACATCAAGCTCAGTATAATGGTGATGACACACTCAGCCTTAGTAAGACATATAAACGCTGTAAGCGCTTCAAGGAGGACCCTTTTTCTATTATTGCGGAATATGCAGGAGAGTTTACGGAAGAAATGTTCATATTTGATCACAAAGGGTGTGGGCTTTTTCAACCACCATTAACGACCACGTACCACTTAGCGAACATTTAAAAAAATAGAGTAACTTGGCTGGGAGATACTCTCCCCCCTCCTCCCACAGTCCAGACTTCAGCACCAAGGGATTTTCACCTGTTCGGGCCCTCTGAACGAATTCCTTGAAGGAAAACATTGACTAAGTGAAGTATGGTGTCCTCCAATGGTTCAGTTGTAATAACAAGGCTTCTCATCTTTTTTTTTTAATATTTGCCATTGACTTGAATGACCCTCATACATTTAGAGTAGGGAATCATTTATGAATGTCGAAATAAAATGCACTCCGACCTCAACATATGTTTGTAACTGCAAATGTAATGTGAACGTACCCTATCAGAAGTAAACAACTCATAGGTTAAGCAAATGTTCAATCGCTACATATCTAAAAATTGTTACTACAGCTGCATGAGTGGGCAAATAGGGTTCATTCAAACTCCATGCCATATTTCTGCATCACACAGTTATCAGTTCAGCTATAAAACAAAACACTCCGCATACATGGATTTCAATTAAGATACACCGGGCGCCGAACTCGCATATCATTAAAAGATGAAACACAAGGCTATCTAGCATTAAATTAAAAATACCACCGTTGTTCTTATGATATGACACTAGTCGGTTCACAAATTGCACTATTGGCAGCTTTTTACAGTGTTATACTAATTCGGTATAAAGAGCGGCGATACAGTGCATTGTAATTCGGTATGTAAATAAATGCCTAAAACACTGTCTTAGTCGGCCTAACTTGCTTTTTGAAGTTGCCAAAAGTTGCCCTTTTTGGCACCAAATGTTCATGTTACCGAATCACGGGCCTACCAGAGAAAAACAATATTTATAGTTCTTCCGCTATCTCGGCATGAAAGACCAACAAAGCTTTTTTTTCTTTTTTCTTTTGGTAATCACATTTTAAAATTTATTTCTTGAAATAGCCATTTTGCTAGAAATATCACCAGTTATTGCTCCTTGGTACTATATTGATGATTGCAGGGGATCAAGCGACAAAAGCGCATGAACAGTAGGCATGGCTACACGAGCCTTTTCTCGACAATACCTAATGGAGGCGTGAACGTCCTGAAAAAAGTACTAAGTTACACGAAGCCGTTGGTAGTGGTGATCGGAGCATAACTCCCTCAGACACCGACTCGCGACAGATCCCGCACACCAGCACTGGACTTGGATAGTCCGATGATTGACAGTAAATATACCGGATTAGCGCGCGCATTCGATCGCGCACGCGGGTGATGGCGGATAGGTGTCCGGTGCATTACAATCACACATGCAACGCAGCTTGGGTTCCCAATATGCTGAAATCTTTGAGGCTGCAGGAAAGCACCCGTTAAGGTTGTGTTCCGCCTTTTTCAAGATGCCATTGCGCATGCACACTTCCACTAGCGAAAATGTTGCGAAAAGCCTACTTGTCTCGGAGGCCCTTGTTTTAGCCATGCCACTTTTCCGAGTCTCTACAAAAACCCTACCGAAACGGCTGAGAGCAGCATGCAGAGGAAAATGGAAAAGGTGGATTCACAGACGTATGTCTCTGGCTTCGTGATACCATGGTCCCTCAATACTTTTTACTGGTAATAAAACTCCCGCGAAAGTTTCATATAGGGACAAAAGTGGCCACCAGAGGCGCCACCCTATACAGGAGGGCATTGACCTGCCGCGCTTGGTAGGGCAGGTGCGCGTTCGCAGAAGCGCTTGTTGTCAAATACACTTCTTCAGATATTTTCCTTCTCCGTGTTCTCGCTAACAAATCATAGCAGTGATTAGTATTGTCAATATTGTACATTATGCGCGTTGTCAAATTGCCCAAGTCATTGATTACTGGCAATGTTTTGACTGAGAGTATTTGTCAAGTGACAGATCTGTTCGTGACATTTTTTACATTTCTTGATTTCTGTATAGCCGCTTTCGGGCTTAAACCGAACACTTTCTTTTCTTTGTCCACTTAGATATCTCTTTCAATTTTTTTCAGCTTTTTATGTGCGAAATATTTCTGCCTAACGGAGATAAATTTGTGTGCCACTTTCCTAGCAGTGGGTAGCATTTTGAACTTTGCAACAACGCTGTGCCTTGCAAGGAAATGTGGGCGAAACTCTCGGCATATTTTTTTGCTGCAATTACTGGCAATTGTCAATAATTCCAAACTGCCATGAGCACAGGTACATAGAGTTTATTTAAATCTGCGTGAATGAAACTGTGGATGAAAAGTTGGGAGATAGAGTGATTGACACAAAAAATATCACAGAAAAAAAATTTATGCCCCTTGTTTTCTCCCTCCTCTGGCCGGGCGGGATGGGCGACCACCAGCACGAAACAGTTTGTTTTGTTCGCGCGTAAAAAAGTGCGGACGGCACTTATAAAAAAGTGCACAACTTCTGCCGTGGTGCTCACAAAATGTGTTCCACAGCCAACACTGGCCGAGGAAGTGCGGTCGTCCCGCAAGATGTTTTCAACAATGTTCATGTAGATATTGGCACAGGCTATATTGTCTATGGTGCGCATTTCAACATGTTCCTCCACAATTTGCAAGAGGCGCAATAGTTGCTCCGATGGCACTTGCACAAATCCTCTCGTCTTAATTGCAGTCAATGCAGTTGGCTCTCGGGAGTTGCGTCTAAGTGTTTGGAGGCAGTCCTTGCAGCTTATTTCAGCAAACTTCTTTGCAACATAGCCGCCAAGGTAATCCAAAACGCAGTCCCTCGTTGACTCCGGATGAATCATATCTTGCATGTATTCAGCAGGCTCCAGCAGTATATCATCAAAAAGAACCGGCAAGGTATCAATCTGAAACGTCAATATTTTTTCATACCACAATGGCAAGAGCAAGAAATTTGAAAAGTGAAAAAGCAGAATAGAAGCTCGTTGTATATCATACGACCAGACGTGCGTGTCATTAGCATCAAAGGGCTAGACAACATTCAGCACATTTCCATACGATGTAGAGACACCCTACGAGCAGCGTTGGTGTGCTATCAAAATGTTTACCTGATTAACAATAGGTTCTTTATGTTGAAAGAGATACTGCATTTTTAAAAGGAGACTTGGACCATCCCCTTCAACTGAGGCTCGCTGTGGTGGACGGATCAAGTTGTTCACCGAGAGCAACCGGTAAATGAACAAAAATTGCTGAACCGTTGGCTGTCCCCCTGCTCCAGCAACATGCCTTGCTATGCCAAAAAACCTCTGAAAGAGAGAAAAGTGCAAAGAAAATGTCTTCAACTAGCGAAAACGTTTAAATTTACCTCGAGGTGGTCTTGTCCAAAGTTTCCAACTAAAACATAGCAAAAGCCACATTTCAGCAGCTTTTCGACAAGCGTCACTGTGCTGTGCAAAGTCATTCTCAGAGCATTGCATGTTGGCTTGCTCAGAAACAAGAGTTGCTTTTGCTTTGGTAAACTCCGGTTGTAAGTGTGCCACCTGTCAAGCCACTCGATGTTCTCCTTCAATGTCTGAAAAACAGTCTGATTTAATTGGAACTTCAAAGGAAGCGACCATAGCTTTGAAATATTAGGGCTTACAGCAATGTGTTCTGCTTCATTATACTGCACATCTTGTGGCCTCTTGGAATTTAAGCAGTCGAATAGAATATTCGTTCATCTCGCAAAATCCGAGGTTGCTTTGGAGCCACGAAGTTTCACACATTCTTCTCTACTGCGATAGCAGTCCATTGCTGAAGCGGTGCTTTCACTGAAGAGCTGAAAGATTTCAGAGAAGGTATATGGTAGAGTGCCGTATTTTCATGAAAGAAAAGCACTTTTTGATACATACTAATAATCAATGACACATGCTAGAGCAGACTTGCCTAGACAGCAAATTTCACACTCAATTTTTGGAAAGCGTTGGGCCTGATGTGTGCTTTCGTAAGCTTTGGCACAGCCCGAACTCCAGCTTGCTGCTCCTCGTAGTCTAGCAGAGCTGTAAAGTGAAAATGCTGTACTTCTTTGTCACCAGGCAACTGTTACATAAAGAAAAAGCCTGTGAGACAAAACAGCCAGAGCACTGTGATGAGTTATCTTAAACTGTGTTTTACCCACCAGAAATTTTCCAGCCTTCAGAAGGTTATTCCTGATGCACTTGAAGATGTGAAGTGGGTCAATTATGACCTGAATGATTTCGGAGGAGTCACGCGGATGCTCAAATGACATTGATACTCTGGCGATATCGCCACTGACACCTAAAAGGAAGACATTTCTATTATTAAGATCACGTACTAGATACCATGAGGATAAAAAATGTCTATAAATATTTACCCAAAGAGTTCAATGCTGATCGGTTCGAAGTAGAGTTATCGCAAGTGACTGCATCCACAACGACACCGGCATTCGACAGGAGTACAATGCAATGCAGGAGCAGTTTAGCAATAGCGGAGCCTGGTGCAGCCCCTGACGTGCAAAACGCTCCGACAGTCTGCGACCAGCCACCGAGGAATGGTCGGAAAAGGAACACTAAAACATGGTCACCATCTTTCACTTGGTCAGTAGGCTTCGTGTGCTCTGCTAAGTCGACCATTCCAAGCAGTGTCATATCCGATTCTCTTACATGAAGGCACCTTCTCACGCTCATCTCGTCAAACATCAGGACCCCTAAAGAAAAAAAAATATTATTTCAGCTGTTTACCTAAACTCCAGAAAAATCAAATGCAAAAAAAAATAAAAAATTGATACCGCGGCATTCTCTCTCTGGAATATTTCCCACTTTGTTTTTGAGGATGGCAAATAAATTTTCACCAAATCCAAAGCCGGCCTTCAGATTTTTTAGGTAGGACTAGAGTGTGCGAGGGTGTGCTAGAGGCAGAAAATTATTCTCGCGAAGAAATGTGTAAACTGCTGTCGATTTGATTTTCAGCAGTAAACAGTCGTAAAGCCATTCTTTTTTATACCTGCAATAAATAAAATGCAGATTTTTGTGTTCAAAATTCAGCGACAGCACCAGCAAACAGCACTATCAAAGTAAAACAAAATATTGCATTTTGGTCCACGGCTTCACTTTTCAGTTTCTATCATTATCCAGAAAGAAAGCGCGCACACTCCGAAAACCGCACTTCACATAAAACTCCAAACACACTTCACAAACGGGATCTTACCGTGCTGCTTTCGTAGACTTCATATTTGCCTTCATGATTCACTGGTCTATAATGAGCTTCTCGCGGTATGACAGCTTGTGAATATCTCCGTACATTCCACCTTTTTTATTCGCGTGCGCCTCCGCTTTTGCGAGTTTCCGCTGGCATGATTGAAGCTGTTGCTTCACGCTGCGAAGTTGCACCTTCACTCCCTGCAGCTCCGATGCTGAACAAACTTGGACCTCAGTTTGACACTCTGCATCAGCGAAGCCTGGGCGATTCTCAGTTCTTACAACATCTGCAAAGACTGACAAAGAGCAAATTTCATAAGGGAAGGAGCCAATTTTGTTGAGCCAGCTTTGTGCCAGACTTATTGTCGATTTCTTCGTCGGCTGCAGTGGAGACGTCCGCATTCACAACTGTCGCATCACACTCTGGAGAAAGCTCTCGTGGCCTTTTTACAGGTGGGCGCTTTGTTAATCCACGCGAACGCTGTTTTGGTTTGAAGAGGTAAGCAGGCAAACCTTCGAAAATTCTTGGCGCGGCGGCTTCCACCAGCCTTGGCCGATCCCGAGGCAGTAAAACGTTGTTCTCATTCACTGTACACACGTTCGCACGTACGATGTCACTTACATCAAAACTTTTTTCGCACACGCGAACATACTTCGAGTCAAACGAAAATCCGACAGTCTCCTGTCGCGCAATTGCACGTTTCCACCTGTCGCGTTGTTCTGCGTCGGCTGGTAAACAGAACAGAGAGACTTTTTCGACGTTGCCCTTGTATCCCGAGCGACAACCCGGTACACAGCAGGTGTTGGGCATCGTGGTCACGACGAGATGACCGCGAAAAGAGAAAAAAAAGGTGCAAGCACCACAAATAACACCACTCCTCGCTCACACTCGGCTAATGGCTGCCAGCAGCAGGCGGCTTCCTCGTCCCCCTTGTAGCTACGCCAGCGCCGCGGCGTGGAAAGTGTGGGCGGTATATGAAGCTCTCTCAATGAGTTACGCGGGAGTTTCATGACCAGTAAAAGTATTGAGAGACCATGGTGATACTGTGGATCTTGATGGGCAGTGCGTTGATCTCAAAATCGTAGGCCCGACATTCATCAGCCGTTTCAGACTGGTGGCGTTAATCAAACTCAGGTGTCCGATACCACTGCAGCTAAAGGCATGAAAATTCTTCACCCTCAACAAAAGGGTGTTTGGGTCACCTTCCCGGCGGGGCCCTGACACTGTCTCCATGAAATGGCGCTTCCACGCAGCGTGGCAGGAGGGCATCATGGGTGGCATGGGTACCGCACCACCTCTTAGAGATTGCGAGATCATACCACGAGAATGGTGCGTTTTAGGACGATAGCAAGACAATTGCCTTTTTTGAAATTTGAACGCAAAAAGTTTCTTTTTTCATTGGTTTCTGCACAACTATTCGACCAACCGGCGAAAGCTTAGCCCTATGCTCCATGCGTAGCTTTATTGATCTGGTAGCTGCGTTCATATTTCTGAACATTGTCAGTCAAAAAGCAAATGACGCATATTTGAGGTGCAACATATACGTAAGAGTTAGTGTGTTGTTTTATTTAGAAAATGCAGATTGATGTAATTTAGCGACGAAAGTGTTTATTACAAGGCGCTAACAATGCAACGCTATGACCAAAAAGCGAGTGTGGTGTTTCTTACGCTTCGATAAAAAATTCAGGAGCATTAACCAGGAGCTCAGCGTTCTAAATAACTTTCGTTTCTTCCCATTACTGCCAGATGGCACCATAGACAACTGCGCTGTAAAAAGTAACAGTACATTTTATTTTGCTTGCTGATGCAAGTGCTGCATGGTGCGCCACGTTCAGTGTTTGCAGTACTGTAAAGAAAAAGGCATGCAAATATCGTATATTGCATAGCCCTCAAGGTATGAAACATTTTAAAGATACATATTAATAACTTACAGCCCTCACTCCCCAGCAGTTGCGAAGACTCTGACCACGGCGGCGCTCAGATCTGCAACGCACCAGAGGGTGCTAAGAATCTCTGGATCCGGACTGGCCACCATTGGAACCTGAACTTGGCAACGTTTAACGCTAGAACCTTATCTAGTGAGGTAAGTCTAGCTGTACTATTCGAGGAGCTAGAGGGTGTTAAACGGGATATAACAGGGCTCAGTGAGGTTAGGAGGACAGATGAGGCCTATACGATGCTACAGAATGGGCACGTTCTTTGCTATCGGGGCTTGGCTGACAGAATAGAACTGAGAGGGGGGTTCTTAATTCATACAAACACAGCTGGCAACACAGAGGAATACTATGGTGGTAGGTATCGTAATTAAACCGAATAAGAGATACAAGATGAAAGTGGAACAAGCTTACATCCCTACATCCAGCCATGGTGGCGCTTCAGTTGAAAGCTTCTATGAAGACGTGGAATCGGCAATAAGTAAGGTAAAAACACAGTATACTATACTGATGGGAGAGTTTAATGCAAAGGTAGGGAAAAGGCAAGCTGGAAACCAGGCAGTAGGAGAATGTGGCATATGTACTAGAAATGCCAGAGGAGAGGTACTAGTAGAATTCACAGAATGCAATAATTCACGGATTTTGAATACCTTCTACCGAAAACGAGGAAACCGTAGGTGGATATAAAGGAGCCGTGATGGCGAAAAGAAGAACGAAACAGACTTTATCCTGAGTGCACACCGAGGCATCGAGCAGGATGTGGAAGTGGTTGGCAAGGTACGATGCAGCAGTCATAGAATGGTACGGTATTGAATGTGCCTGGACTTGAAGAAGGAACGACAGAAACTGATACGCAAGAAGCCAATCGATGAGCTAGAACTGAGAGGGAAAGTACAGAAATTCAGAGTCTCGCTTCAAAACAGCTACTCGGCTCTTAGTGAGGGAACCAACTTCAGCGTAGATACAATGAATGATAATCTGACGAGTATCATTACGGAGTGTGCAGTGGAAGTTGGAGGCAAGGTAGTTAGACAGAACACTGGAAAGCTTTCCGAGGAAACCAAGAATCTCATTGAAAAGCGTCAAATTATGAAAGTCTTAAGTTTAACAGACAAAATAGAACTGGCAGAGCTTTCGAAGTTGAATAATAGGCGTAAGGTATCCTACGTAAGAAGGTATAACATGGAGAAAATTGAACACGCTCACAAAAACAGAGGAAGTGTCAAAGCAGTGAATAGGACATTTGGGATAGGCAAAAATAGGATGTATGCACTAAGGGACAAAGAAGGCAAAATAACTACCAATATGGATAGGATAGTTAAAATAGCGGAGGAGTTTTACAGATATTTGTACAGTAGCCGAAACAACCACGACCTTATT